TGTCCGTCTTGGGTGGCCCTGCACGGTATAGCTCATGGCTTCACTGAGTTACGCAAGCCCCTTCGCCACGACAAGGCAGTGATCCATGAAGGGGAAAAGCATATTAGGTATATTAAAATAATAACAAGAGACTAATCAGAATTCAAACCTAGAGTTTGATTTAAAAAAAAAAACCCAAGACAAATGCATTAAAAGTTCCAGAGACCCACGTTATATTCATGTATAGCTGGGAAAAAAGGATACTGATACTCCTAAAAACCGGAGACTTGAAGAATCCGTTTTTCTAAAAAGGAAAAGGAAAATAGCAACTACCATGGAATCAAAATAAAGCTGTAGTTGTAGAGAATGTCTACAATTGCTTAAAGCACCTGTAATGATGCATAACAAAATGAGATGCAATATTTTCTGGCAAAATTTCTACTGTTATTAGTTCCGCGAGTGATAGACATATAGAACTATTAATTATTTAAGGTATCGCCAGAATAACCAGGCAACTCTGATTTTATCCCTTTTCCACATGGTTCTCAGGCCATGTTTTAAGAACCTGTATTTCATTTCTGTACCACAAAATACCCAGAGCCACAGGAGAGATTGAAGAGAGAGGATGACACAAACATTATCTCAACAGTTTTTTCTCTTGCCATAGTACAGGTTGGATTCTGCTCAGGTTCACTGGTGAGGAAACATTCTCAGCGGATGCATCTTCTTTCCTATCATTGCATCTGCTTGACAGGAAAATTTCATGTGTTAATACTTATTAAAAACACAGAAGCCTGCCAGTTAAAAGAAAGTATGTATATCTCTGCAAAGTCTAAGTGAAAGGACACTGGAAGTAGCTAGACTTCCACATAATTTTATATCTAAAGATTACAAAATATAGATATTCTTACTGTTATACCAACTCATATACTGTGTTTAGACAACTTATATACATAATAACTCAAAATAATTTATATTGCTAAATGTTTCCTTGAATGGTATCAACATTCCAGATGTATTTTGCATCACTGATGCGAAAAAGAAATGGAGAACCCATTCTGTCAACTGACCATCCCTGATTAGCTAAAAAGGAATTTTTAGCCAACAGTTATGATGTGTCAGGCCCAGCCCAAGAACAATGATGAAACAGTTCAGTCCAGTACAGTTCCTTTATTTGCTTACACCCTCTAGACAGAATC